TGCCTATGCTGTAATGCCTAGCCTAGTCTTAGGACTCTGGGCACTGTAACATAGACGCTTGCTATTCCGTGTAGATTATGAACCAGCATCACTGACACCACCTGGGAGCTTGTTAGAAATACAGAATTTAGGGCTCTACTGCAGTTATTGAATCAGAATCTGCATTTTAACAAGAGCACTAGATGATCCACGTACACATTAAAGTCTGAGATGCACAGAAGCTCTGGTGTAGAACTGTGTTTCTCAAATTTGCAACATCCTAGAATCACGTGGGAGCTTTTAAAAATCCAATGCCCAGGCAGCATCCTATGCCAGTTAAGTCAGACTATTTTAGGATAAGACCCAGGAATCAGCATTTTTAAAAATTGTGGTAAAATACACAAAACAGAAAACTTACCCGTTTAACCATATTTTTGTTTTTTTGATAGAGATTTTCGCTACAGGACGTGTGCGCTCATCAGACAGACAGAGACAGAGACAGAAAGCGAAAAATCACCCCCCAGGGGGGATGGTCACGCCACAATCCCTTCTCCTCCATTCTCCTCTCGGGATCTTGGGCACGCACACACACGCGCCCGGCGTGAGTTTTAAGCCACCGGGTCCAGGACGCGAACCGCGGTCGACTACGTGGGAGTCCAGCGACATAGCCATTACACTAACTGCTAGTTCCCTTAACCATATTGAAGTGTGTAGTTCAGTGGCATAAGTACATTAACACACTTCTGTGATCACCACCACCATCCATCTCCTGAACTTTTCCATCTTCCCAAACTGAAACGCCACGCCTGTTAAACACTAATTCTCCCTTTCCTCCTCTTCAGCCCCGCCACCATTCTACTTTCTGTCTGTATTCGTTTGACTATTCCGAGTACCTCGTACAAATGGAATCATACAATATTTGTCCTTTTAAGTCTGCTTATTTCACTTAACATAATGTCTTCAAGATTCATCCATGCTCTAGCATTTGTCAGAATTTCCTTCCTTTTGAAGGCGGAATAATATTCTATTGTGTGTATATAGCATTTTTTTTTAATCCATTCGACTGTGAATGTAAAGTTGAGTTGTGTCCATGTTTTGGCTATAGTGAAGAATGCTGCTATAAGCATGGATGTACTAATATCTGTTTGAGTCTCTTTCAGTTCTTTTGGGTGTATATTTAGAAGCGGAATGGCTGGATTATATGGCAATTCTGTTTTGAATCTTTTAAGGAACCACCATGCTGTTTTCCACATCAGCTGCACCATTTTGCATTCACACCAGCAGTGGGCAAGGCTTCCAATTTCTCCACATCCTCACCCACACTTGTTATTTTCTGGTTTGTTGATTATAACCATCCTAATGGGTGTGAAATGGTGACTCACTGTGGTTTTGATTTGCATTTCCCTAATGGTTAGTGATGTTTGTATTTCTTGGCCATTTGTGTATCTTTTTTTTTTTTGAGAGGTTTTTTGCTATAGGGTGCGTGCACTTGCCAGAAAGACAGAGAGAGACAGAGAGACAGAAAGCGAGAAATCACATCCCCCCTGGGGGGGGGGATGGCCTCGCCACAATCCCTTCTTCTCCATTCTCCTCTCAGGGTCTTGGGCATGCACACACACACGCTTAGAGTGAGTTTAAGCCTCTGGGTCCGGGACTTGAACCGAGGTCAGCTTCATGGGAGTCCAGTGACATAGCCATTATGCTAACTGCTGGTCCCAGTCATTTGTATGTCTTTGGGGAGGTGTCAGCTTGAGTCCTTTGCCCAGTTTGAAACAGGTTGTTTGGGTTTTTGTTAAGTTTGTAGGAGTTTTTAATATTCTGGATGGTGATAGCTTATCAGGTATATGATTTGCAAATATTTTCTTCCATTCTCTGGGTTGCTTTTGTATTCTTTTGATAGCATCCTTTGATGCACAAAAGTTTTAAATTTTGATGTAGTCCTTTTTTTTCCTATTTTCTCTTCTTTTTGTTGCTTGTGTTTCTGGTGTCTTATCCAAGAAATCATTGTGAAACATGAGAGTTTTCTAAAGCTCCCCAACAATTGGATTCCATCATAAAGCCAAGATTGAGCTGTGTTTCTCAAACTTAGAATCTTGTTAAAATGAGCATTAATGACTTGTGAGGTCTGAGGTGGGACCCTAAATGTTGCTGGTGCTGCTGGTCTGAGACCACTGTAGGTAGCCAGGGTGTAGAGGAGCATTTCGGTGATTTTTCTCATCTCAGCCCCGAGAGTAGAGGCTATATGTTTACCAGACCTTCTTCTAGGCTTCCTCACAGTAACATTTCCTGATCCACCATCAAGACAGCCCAATGCTTCTCCTCTACCTCAGCTGAGCAGCCCAAGTGGGTATATTCAATGTCTTTAGCATGGCAGAGGAATAAAAAGAAAAATATGTATTCTCCTTGTCTTACTCTCTCCCAGGCCCCGAGAAAGCTACCCACTGGTCTACCAGGACCCACACTAATGATGGCGTATTCCTCTCCAGCCTGTGAGGGAACTATTGTAGGACTGTGCTGAAAGTTGTTTTGTTCCGAATATGTTATGCTTGGCAAGGAAAACTAAGTTGGCCTGAAGTTTATAGAAGCAGGTGTGTGTGTGTGGGTGGGGGGAACTGCTGAAAATTTGCTTCTAAAAAATTAAAAATTCTTTAATCCATCATAGAATGTTATAGCTGCAAAGGACCTTCAGAGAGCTCTCAAACCTTCATTTGGAAAAGAAAACTGGGACCCAGAAAGGTTGTAGTTTGTTCAAGGTCTCTAAGCAAGGTAGAAGTCAGCCCATAGGTGTGCTTTTTTTTTTTTCCCCGTAATCTTGCTTTAGGTTATTTGTCTGGAAATGGATAACACAGAGTAGCCACTTCTTTCCTAGGGCTCCTTTAATTAAAAGTTCTACTTTGCATAGGAAAGGTACAAATCAAGCGATTGCATTGTGGTTCGTGCCCCTGTGGCCTTCATTAGCAAACTTCTGCCCGGTATGCTCACATTACCCTGATAAGACCTGAGTCTTCGGCGGCGGTGACCCACACTGCAGGTGTGGTGCCTGGGAGGAGCTGACCAGTTTCTGGGAGGCATGCCCCATGCCGCGCTTCTCTCCCACGCCCGTGGGAGATGTGAGCTGACCACAGCTCTCTCCAGCCACTGCTCAATGGTTGAATTTGGCTTTCGAGGTGAAACTTACTTGCTGTCCTTACAGGAGCGGCTATACCTTGAAAGTCCAGTGACCTTCAGAGCCATGCCACGGCTCAGCATGTCTACACTGGTTATTAAATACTCTTTAGCTTCCTATTCTACCTACCCCCACCCCCCACCCTGGGCTCATTAATCCAATTATGAGTTTCCTTTATCCACTTAAACTTCCTGCCAAGTTGCAAAGCTCTTATAGAGATGCATTTGTCTTTAGTAATTAGACAGCCCGGTAGACGATGCTGTCTTGTTCAGACATCTCTGTAATTTGGAGTGACCTCACTCCGGTAGTGCGACACCTAACATGTGCCCTATGAGCATGCTATAAGAACCTCCTTCCAACGAGGGCTCATGGAGGTCAGTTTCTGCCCTGTGATCGGACCCCCGCCCTGGTGTCTCTCACCAGCAAGGCATCAGGGAGCCTGCAAAGGCAGTGCCTGGACCCTTCTTTTTGGTCTCTGGGCCCTTGAACTGGAGTAAGTGCATTTTCTGGCAAAAGTGTCTGTCACCGTATCAGTAAACGGTCCTCAGATCTTTGTTGCTCTGCCCTTCATTAAGACATCAGCCTCTCACTGCCAGATGCACTGACAGGCCAGCAGGAAAAGTCCCACCAGGAAGAGATCTGTGCCTTCTGAAGGCAGGAAGGTTCTGCATTGCCTGCCGGGACTGGATCTGTGTGGCCTCTGCAGGCCGTTCCAGTGGAGCGTTTAGAACGCTGTGAGTCTGATCTAGGCCTGCGGGCAGTCTCAGGGTGGTGCCATCTGCAGTGTCTGAGACTTGCCCGCGCTCAGAGGGGGTGGAGTCTTTCCACCTTCTTGGCCATCCTCATCTGTCTTCTGGGTGTGTGCCACAACTCCGGTGGCCTCAGGCTGCTTGGCAACACCCTGAGTTATGTTAGAGATATAATAATGAATTATACAATGCATTATACATAATTAATTTATAATAAAACACGCACGCAATGGTTTAATTTCTCCAAGTGAATGATGTGCTGCCCGCCAGATCCTGCTGGAATACGGCCCCTAAATGACTGCTTCTTGGTCCGGAGATGATGGCCAGCTGCCCTGGGAGGGATCTTGGCTGGGGAGGCCGCCAAGTCTCAGATTCCTCCCAGGCTACCTCCGGGGTATGTCCCACAGAAGGACAGACTCTCATTGCCTCTATTGTTGTTCTAGACCTGTATGCCTCTGGGGGCCTCCGTCTCCCCTCTGCATTGGTTGAGGTCTGTTACCTTTATTCTCCCAGGCTGTTTCCCAGAGCCCGGGAGATCCTGTGCATGGAGGCTCTGCTCCGCTATTCAGCTTCCTTCCTCCCACAAATATGTATGAGGGGACTTGAAATAGTTCATAGAAAAACGGAATTGAAGTATGAGTTTATTTTGGTGAAAAAAAAAAAGAAATCCATCCATGCTTAATTTTTTCATAATCTGCTTTTTTGATGAGCTTTCCAAAGGCCCCTTGTCTGTTATTTGCACTGTCCTGGCTTGGTGGACATTAGTGAATAAAGCCCAGATCCTGCTCAAATGGAGCTTATAGTCACGCACAGGGAGATGGACGACAAATACGTGGGATGGGTTAGTAAAGGGTACCGAATGTTCTACAGCGAAGGCGTCCCAGAGGAGGAAAAAGCAGAGCAGGGCGAGGTGGTAGGCCGCGGTGGGGCAGTTGCAGTCGAAGAGGGTGGTCAGGGTGAGCCTGATGGACAAGCAGCCGCCTGGGAATTGCCAAGCCCTCTGTGAATGGAGCTGGGAGTGGGGAGGGAAGGCACTTGGGATTAGATTTTCCTGGGCTGCTTTGGCTACAGGGCCTTTCAGTAACATTTCTAATTTTGGGTTTCAGGTGCTCAGGATGTTACTGTTCCTGCCGCTGCTGTGGTTTCTGCCCTGCGCTGAGGGGTCCCAGAGGGCTGAGCCCATGTTCACTGCAGTGACCAACTCAGTCCTGCCCCCTGACTATGACAGCAACCCCACCCAGCTCAACTATGGCGTGGCAGTTACTGATGTGGACCATGATGGGGACTTCGAGATTGTCGTGGCAGGGTAAGTGCCACCTATCCTGAGTTTGACAGATGTATTGATCAGCTTTTGCCCTGGTGAAGCTGTGTAACAAATAAGTCCCAAGCCGGGTAACTTGTAACAATGCACTTAGGTCTGTGATCTGCAGCTTGGCTGCAGCTTGGCTCAACTCAGCTGGGGTTCTGGGATGCGATGGCCTTGCCTTGGCTATAGCAGTGAGATGAGGTGGAGGGCTGTTTGGAAGGTGGGTGTTTGATCCACAGGCTTTCCAGGAAGAAAAATTGTTTCAAGGCACTCTCATCTTTTCATATTTCAGCCTTCTTGGTTAGGCAGGTGGACTTCCTTACCAGTGGGGCTCTAGGAACTCCATGTAGGAGGGACCTGAGGATGATCATGAAAGAAGGGGATGCTCAGAGCTCCCTTTGCACAGGGGTTTGCATAATACTAAAATCATGAACTTCCCATTTCAAAGTAGAGAAGAGATCATTAACTCAACCTCTTCTAGCTGTGCCTCGGTGCCCACTGCTCCCTTCTCTCCTGAAAAGCAACACTGTAGTGAGAAAACCTAAGTCCCAAGAGCTTTAATTCATGTTCTAGATTGTAACTTTCTTGTATGACCCTGGGTCAGGCCCTTACTTGCTGAGATTCAGCACCTCATCAATGAAAAGGGGGACAGCCTAGGGCCTTGTCCTGCAGCGTCAGAAGGCCACTGCACTGGTAATTACCATTGGTAATTATTACTTACTGAGTGTTAACATGTGCCAGGCATTGCACCTGTGTCGTCTTATTTCCTCTGCAATATGGGGAAGTAAGTGTCATAAGATCCCCATTTAGGGAAAAGTAGATCAGGGTTAAGAGATCACAAACAGGGGCCAGCAGGTGGCCTAGTGGTTAAGGGCTGGACTCCCACATGGCTGATCATGGTTTGAGTCCCAGACCTGGTGGCTTGAAAAATTACACCAGATGTGTGTGTGTGTACATGCTCAAAATGAGAATTGAAAAGGGAATGCAGTGTGACCATCCACCCGGAGGATTTCTCACTTTCTGTCTCTCCAGTGAGTGCATGCATCCTATAGCAAAAATCTCTTAAAAAAAAAACAAAAAAAAACCAAAAAAAAAAACAGAAGAAGTCATCAGCAGCTTGTTGTCAGGTAAAAAGTAAGTGGGTAAGTCAGGGTTTGAGCCCTGAGGCTTCGCAACTTTAGTGCTGCCAAACTACACTGTACGAAGTTTAGTTATGACTTCAAAAATAAGTTGACCAGGGGTCTGTCAACCTTGTTCTGGGGTACCTGAGTTTTTAAAGTAGCATTGAACAAAGTAAGCGGCAGCTAACAGTGTCGAAGCAGTTGCATGTAACAGCAGAAGGCATTGCCCTTAGAGCCGGAAGATGGAGCTTTAATTGCCCCCCCCCTTAAGAATTATTTACTTAATTTTATTTATCATTTTTTATTTCTTAATTTGACCAGAGAAAGAGAGAGAAAAAGTGAGAAAACAAGCCACCAGGTCTGGGACCCAAACCACAGTCAGCCATGTGGGAGTCTGGCACCTTAACCACCATGCCACCTGTTAGCCCCCAGACCTGGTTTTAATTCTAACCATCCTAACCCAATAGCAGTGAACACTAAGTGATTTACTTAACTACATAGACCCACTTCCTGCATCTATAAAATATCGAACATTACCGGCCTGCGTCACGGGACAATCAGAAGGGTCAGTGGAGTTGAATAGAAAAGGTGGGGGCGGGAGCCGGCAGCTGGTGTGATAACTCAGGAACCGGGCTCTCACATGGCTGGCTGCCGTTCGAGTCCCAGACCTAGTGGCTTGCTTCCTCACTTTCCCTTTCTCTCTCTCTTTCTGGTCAAATAAATTAAAAAAATAATAATGATGATGATAAAAACAAATAAAATTAAATAAATAATCCTTAAAAAAAAAGAAAGAAAGAAAGAAAGGAAAGACAGGGCCAGCAGGTGCTGTGGAGGTTAGGGCACTTGGATCCCACGTGGCTGGTCATCAGTTCCATCCCTAACCCAGCAGCTAAAAACATCCACGCCGGGTGCATGTGCATGCATGCCCAAAATCCTGAGAGGAGACTGGAGGAGAAGGGACTGTGGTGCGGCCATAACCCCGGAGGGTGTTATCGCCGTTTTCCGGTCTCTGTCTCTCTGGCAAGTACATGAACCCTATAGGAAAACAAAGCAACAACAAAATAATTAACATATTCTGAAAAGAGCATTTTTCATTTGCTAATTTCTTTTATCCTGTGAAGATTAGAGGTACTAGATTCTAGAAGGTCTAGAGCAGTGTGCCATTGAATAGAACCTTCTGTGATGAGGTGGGTGACCCTGGCCTCCTCTGAGACCACAGAGAACAGGCGACAGCAGCAGGGCAAATCGTCCGTCCCTCCTCCTGCCCCTCCTCCACTGCTACTATGGACATTTTCTCCTTTTATCTAGGAAGACAGGATAACCTTGTCTTCCCACAGATTAGTAAGAAAAAACTGTAAGGGCACTTCAGAAATTCATGGAGAAATGGGATAAAAGTATGAGTTTATTTTAGTGTAAAAAAGTTGAAAAATGCGTCATTTCTCATAATGTACATTTCCCATGAACTTTCTTCCCATTCACGATAGAGTACATGCACGCATGGGAGAGAACGAGAAGTACCCCCACAGGGCTCGCTCACACCGCAGTCCCTTCCCCGAGTCCCCCAGCCCACCATGGTCCTGGCATGTGTGCACATGATGGGGGTTTTAGGCCGACTGGCCTGGGGACTGGAACTGTAGTTGCCACGTGGCTTCCAGCTCTGCTGTCCGGTATGCTACTGACTGTGCCGCAGGGGCTAAGCTTCCATGAGACTTGGAAGACCCCTCATTAAACCTGAGATGTGAACAAAATGTCTACTTGCCCTGTTTTTGTTCCTCTGGGGCCAGGACACCTGGCAGGAGCTGTGGAGAGTGTCTCACTGTCTCCAGGGAAAGGTGTCCGGGGTTGCAGTAGCTTATGCTCCCCTCTGCGCTGAACAGCCAGCTCTGGTGCTCAGTCTGGCTCTCCTTCTCCCTGGCCAGTTCACCTCTCAGGAGCCCTTTGGTGACCCCTGCTCTGGTGCAGACTCTTCTCCCAAGGTTACAGAGCGAGGAGAAGAAAGGGCACGAGCTGAGCACCCCAGAGGAAGACGAGAGCCTCTTACAGCTCACTTGGGTGGTCGTGGTCCTGGCTTCTCTTTCAAGGCCTGCGGAGACAGCGGCACGGGACGCCTCGCCCTCCTCAGTCACCTCCCAGCTGCAAAGACTAACAGACAGGGCTGGTCCTCACCTGGGTCTGTTAGCAAGGAAGCAGAACAATTTGGCAGCAGAGTTTTCAGTGACTCTTTGTCCTTTCCAGGTCAAAGGGAAGGATTTATGCCCCATTCACTGAGATCGGTTAGCTGAGCCCTAGGGGTGTCTCAACGTGGGCTTTGAGGGTGGGTCTCCGCCTGCTGGGCTTCAGTGGATGGGGGGTGGGGCCGC